GAGGGAGACCTGAGGATGGAGGAGGCAGGCGGGGAGATTTAAAGGGGAATCCGCCTCCGCCGTTAAACACCTGGCCCTGCGCCGGGCTGCGGCCTCCGGGCACCCCGCACTAGCTGCCCCTCCACCCCCCTCCCCCCGTTTGTAACTAGGGATCTGACGTAAGTCGGATTGATGTAACCCGGGGACTTCCTGTACTAACTTTTCACTCTAACTGGCTAGTGAAACTAGAGTTGTCACACTCTGCCTGGTTCAAGGATCCAGGCTACATCTCTTCTAGTGCTGCAGGAGAATATTCACTGAATTAAAAACGTTGAGAAACTTTTCTTTAACAAAACCTGTACAAGTCTTTCAAGCCGTGTATAGCGCTGCTGCTATTTCACATTCAGACCCCTTATGTTCTTTACTCTGCTGTTGATTCTAGCTTGGATGGCTTACTGGCTTTGCTTCCAATGATCCCCTATGCATTCAGTGTCCTTACACTTGTCTGCCAAGCTATTTTGCTTTCATATAAATCTTCTCATGCATTTCAGTTTGTAATTGACTAAAGGTATGAACTTATTATAAATGAGTAACCGTGTACTCTTACTTCCATAACCATTGTCTTTCCTCAACCCCATCCCTATGCTGTTGTTTAATTCCATGTTGACATTGCTAAAATAAGACTAAAGGTGCAATCTTCAAAAGAACCTAAGTCTCACTTTCAAAAGTGATTTAAGGGCTTATGAAAATTATATTCTATTAGCTTTTTTGGGGACATGATCGTATCACCACTTATACCATAAAGTCCTTAATGTAGTTTTGGAGACTGTCTTTTAAAAAACAAAACAAACACAAATAAACTGAATGAAATAAATTTTTCTTCTCTGTATTGTACCTATTGAATTGATGAAGAAGGAATGGGTAATTTTGAAGGGTGAAGTAAAATTGCTAGGCACACCCTAACTTTGAATGAAAGTTTCACCCTGTCCCCTGGTCGTGACCTGGTAATCTCCATTTTAGTGGCATTTGGGATGCAGCCTGCATTGTCATTATTTTCCCGTCTGTATCAGAGATTAACATTTTAAGGAGCTTTCTTAAGTATATTCAGAAATCCTCACTTTTAAAAACATTTTTCTGTGTTAAGGGGAAGGAGACATTTGTACCTCAAAAATGAGAATAGTAATATTGATTGCTTTGAAGTACTTTGGACCTACTAACTAAAAGTACTTTATAAAAGCTAGGTGTTATTATTAAAAGGCTGATTATCTGCCAGCCTGATAGAGGGAAATGAGTGAGAAACTTTATTGTAAATTGAAGATAGAAGGGACAGTCTCCGATTAGATGATTGCACAATCATTTCTCTACAAATGTGTCAGTTATTAATTTGGGATTATCCCTGATCTTAGCCAAAAAAAAGCCAAGACTAAAAATCCATTTCAAGCATTAAACTTGCCAGTCTGTTTTTTATTTTTGTTGTTGTTGGTATTTGGTCAGTAATCTTAAAGGGTTAGAAGTATGCGCGTCATAGTGCAAACAAGGTAGTGTTGTTCCTTTAGTGCATCTAGTTTGGAGTCGCTGGAAGAGAAACAGCTGACCTGGGTAAAAGATAGCAATGCAAAATGTCTGTCCCCTGTTGGTGTAGTGACTGCTTCTAGATGGTGATAATCTGCATGTGATTTGCACTCCGACCTAACACTATGTATTGCAAATGGGTTATGCCTCTTTCCTTCTAGGTGAAGGAATCAGATGGTGTTGTTAACGATGAACTGCCAAACTGCTGGGAATGTCCAAAGTGCAACCATGCAGGGAAAACTGGGAAAGTGAGTTTCACTGGAATACATGACATAAGCATGAGACATTAAATCTTGCATATTATCTTCTACATTCAGATCTTTTGTTGCTGTTTTGTTAGGACTATGGAACAAAAGCCCTATTAATCTAAAAAGCCATGTTGTAAACAAACCAACACATTTTCTGTTAATTTTAAACTATTTTAAAAACTTCTCTGATTTTCACAAGTTTTCCTTATTGTATATTCAGCAAAAATAAAGAGAATAAGTTAGCCAGCACCCCTCTTTGCTGTCATTTCACTTGAGGATTCCATGCATGAATAGAGTGTAAATATAACAGTGTAGCAAATCCTGTAGAGGGGGGAATATTTACATTCAAACTAAAAGCTGTTTTTTAGATTTTGTAAATCTAAATGAAACCAAATCTGAAGTGTCCCTTACAACTAGTGAAATATTAGATTCTGTATAATCTGATATGGAGAAAGTATGTTTTATATATATGAAAAACTCCTTAGAATTTGAAATTATTTACCACACTTGACTGCTTGTGAATAGCCAGTTAGTGATTTAATCAACTGCATGTAACCAGACAAAAGATTCAAATAAAATACATAGTGAACAGCAAAAAAAGACATAAGATATAAAGTTTGTTTGTGTTTTCTCTCTCTTTGGCGTACAAGCAAAAGCGTGGACCAGGATTCAAATACGCATCAAATCTCCCAGGCTCGCTGCTTAAGGAACAGAAGATGAACAGAGATAATAAGGAAGTAACTGATGCAGCAAAACGGAAAGGGGAATGTGAAGAAACCCCCAGGCGGAAATCTGATGAACCTTCTAAAAAGCCCCCTGTTGATTCTATTTTGAGGAGAAAGTCAGATGAAGTGCATATACGAAGGAAAAGAAAATTTGAGAAACCACAAGAACCTGCTATGAGAAAACGGGTATGAGAGGGTAAAACCTCATCTCCTTAATGTGCACCCACACACAGGCACTTTTAGGTCTTGCACGTCAGCTTTAAGCTATCCTTTGAGTCTCTTGATTTCCAGCAAGTAATAGTTAGGAAGGAAATTGCATTGCCCTTGACATTTCTTTTTGAAAATTATCTGTCATGCAATAAAATTATCAACATGAACTTTGCTTTTTATTCAGGGTTAGATAAGATTGGGCAAAGAACTAGCAATTTACTTGAAAAATCCACTTTAAGCTTGTATTTGTAATGGGGAGGATAGTCAAAAGTAGTTTCACTCAACCCTTTTCATCTCTAAGCACTGGGTGGTGCTTGATAACTTTCTCAGTCTAGCCGTAATTACATAAAGCTGTAGCAATTTTTGACCGGGGGGGGAGGGCTGGAAGATTTCAGTAAGTGGCCAAGGGCTGCACTTTCCTGTGGAGGAGGTGTGCTGTTTGGGACAGAGGTTGGGTGCAGAATGGCACCAGGAATGCAGGAGAGTGTGTGGGAACTGAGAGGGAGTTTGGCTGAAGGAGGAGACTGTGACCTGGGGCAGGGGATCAGAGTATAGGATAGGAATGTCAACGAGTAGTCGACTAGACCATTAGCTGATAAGATTAGGCTTATTGGTTAATCTACTTGACCACTCATGTTCCCCCCCCAAAAAAACACCCAGTTGCCTTTGTATAAGAAACAGCAAGTGAGGAGGAAGCAAGAGAGCTGGTGCGGGGGAGAGCCGGCATCTGTGGGGGCTGTTTGCATGCTGCCCTCCCACCAGGCCAATCATCACAGCTCCCATTGGCCTGGGGGGCAGGCAGCATGAAAAATTGTTTCCTCTCTCCCGGAGCCACCCTCCATTTTGAACAGTCTCAGGCTTCAACAGGCAGAGACCTTCCTTTGGGTCTTGGCGGGCTGTATCTTGCCCATGCCTGCGTAATACTCAACCCTTTTCATCTCTAATCACTGGGTGGCACTTGATAGCTTTTTCTAACTATCCATCATAACTGCATACAGCAGCAGTAATACTTCAGTAAAGTAACTAATCCTTACAGCAGCATAGAGATAATATTCTCCCCAATTTATAAAGAGAAGGAGTAATCTATCTACTGCTTTCAGTTTCAATTTAGGCACTCTTTTTAAAATCTAACTTGTAGAATTTATTTGGGCAGCAAGCATTTGAATTTCTCATGCATTATTTTAATATCTAGGAATTGCAGATTAGCTTGTCTGTGGAAGCGAGGAGGAGGACCTGGCTTTAACTCTGAATAACTGTGTGTTGATTTCAGTTGTGTTCAGTCACAGTTTCTGCACTAGCTTTGTAGCATACACAAATTCATTATGGTGGATGGCCCAAGATTTGAAATAGAGGCGTTACCGATGGGGATTGAAGTTGAAGGGCAGAGTAGAGGGACTGCATATACAGTGCCATTCACATGTGTTTGGTCTCTAGCCAGTGCTATTATCTTCTTGCCTTCGTGGGCATTAAAAACTATTTGACTTAGTACAGTAAGACCTGTGTTATCCGGCATGCTCAGGGATTAGGGCCTTCCGGTTATCTAAAAATTCCGGTTTTCTGAGGGTCCCCATCAACCTAGGAAAAACCAATGGACAATAATATTGGTAGTTTTGTAGTGTGAGGCAGTTGGTCTCACATTTCTATTTTGCGTTAAAGATTATTAGTACATCTTAAATAAAAAATTGTTAAGCCAATCATGGTAAACCAAGCCAGGCCTGTGCACTTGAAGATTAAGATGTGACAGTATTGTGGCTGGGGGCAATGCCGGTTAACAAAGTTTTCTGGTTAACAGAGTGACGGATAACAAAGGTTTCACTGTAGATGGTGCTCATACATGTTTCCTACATGTCTCCAGAATGTGGGACACTCCAGAGTGACACCAAAATGCACTGGAGAGGAGATTATGGGAGGATGATAAATGTTCATTTAATAGACTTCTGCCATTGAAAACCAAAAACCATTAGTATACTGAAGGGCAAGAAATGAAGTATGGCTTTTTTTTTTTTTAGTGGGGTAATCTATCTGCTTCATTATAGTGGGTTAATCTATAGTGGTTTGCTATAACCACTTAGCAAACCAGTTATTAACTGAAGAAAACTGATATAGTAGGAATTTTTACTGGATAACATTTACCATTTGTTTTTCTTTCCTGAAACAGCTAAAACTTGGTAAAGAAGAGAAACTCTTCAGGAAAAAGGTACTTTGATACATCTTTACTTTGTGTACTTAATTACATTTTTCCCTCTTGTTCTCTCATCTGCGCTTGATGCAGTTGCTTTAGCAATCCCATTAGTGTGCCTTTGCTGCCATTTTTACTGCATATTTGCACTTCAGAATTAGGTTTCCATGTCACAATCAGGCTTTTTGGTTTTATTTCCAGTTCTACAGTTCTCTGCTGTGAAAAACATAGACTGAGTCATGTAGCGATGTTCTGTTCTCCCTACATACATCAATATTTCCCCATACAGTAATGCTATCTGGGTATTTGTGTAATGGTGTAAGGTCTATTCCAATATTGATGGTTATCCACTGATGGCTCGAAGGGTGGTCTATTTACTTTTATAAGCTAGCATATGATTATAAATGTTGTAGGTTATTAAATTATCCAGCTCCTAGATTCTGATTCTGTGGAATCCTAGATAGAGAATGCCATAAAGTGACTATAGTCTGGAGACATTTTCTTTTAATTACAGTAATGTAAAGTATCTGTCACTGACTTTTGAGTAACTTTTCATTCTTCTGTAATAGATGAATGGTGAGGTGGGGGAAGAGTGATTGATCATCTTTCACTAATCCCTCTGTAATCTTATAAAATGTAGTCCTGTCCCATCTAATTTTGGGTAGAGCTTAAAAAAAAAAAAAAAAAAAAAAAACTTTGACGGTTGTGCAATAATGATACATCCCCATTTAAAAGCTAGGAACACACCTTTTTATTCAATTTATAATTTATTGCAGCTGCATACAAATTCTGGCACAACTGTTGTGTATTTATAGTGTTACACCTCTGTTTGCCGACCTCATCCCTCTTTACCATAGTGCCTTTTTATTTTAGTTTTAATAGCTCTGGACTTCTCACTTGTGTTTGAATTAATTATACAAGAAATCTTCCCCTTTTTTGGCATGGCATTGCACATCTCTTGGAGCTGTGACATACATCCATGGGGATTTGATTAAAGTAGACAAGTGATGTGTGATTCGAGTTTATGAAAAGTGACTGGAGCAGGGAAGAAGGAGCCAGCTGACCCCTTCATAGGCCCACTGTCAAGCACTTCAGACCTTATCTGACTATCAGTATGTCAGGGCTATCAGGGGGATCACCCATTTGTATATACATGCAGTGTGCTAGAGAGAGATGGAGAGAATGCATGGCACTCCTTGAGACATAGCATCTAGCAATAAGTAGCAGAACAGAAGTATATCAGGAATGTGACTTAGTAATTGCACAGAATGTATCAAAACTTGCTAAATCAAAGTAACTCAGTGCTCTTAGCTTGTATTGCTGTTTGGATGAGTAGAGTCACTGATCTTGATTGCATATCAGGAAGTACAGTGGCTATCTTTTAAGGACATAAAAACAACCACACTCAGTCAGGCCAAAGATCCATCTAGCCCAATATCCTGTCTTCTGACAATGATCAGTGCCAGGTGTCCCTGAGGGAATGAACAGGTAAATCATCAAGTGATCCATCTCCTGTTGCTCACTCCCAGATTGTGGCAAACAGGAAGGGACGGTGTCCCTACTTTCTATCTTTGCTAATAGCCATTGGGGGACCTATCCTCCATGAATTTATCTAGGTCTTTTTTTAATCCTGTTAATTTCATTTGATGACCCCTAGTTCTTTTCTTCTGAGATAACTCTTCTTTATTCACTTTTACCACACCAGGCATGATTTTATAGACCTATATCATATCCCTCTTCACTTATGGCTTAACCAGGAGATCCTAGGACAAATTACAAAGGATGAATATAGGCAAACAATACAAGAATGCAGGGGCAAGATTAGAAAGAGGCACAAAATGAGCTCAGACTAGCTACAGGAATAAAGGGAAACAAGAAGACATTCTATAAATACATTAGAAGCAAGAGGAAGACCAAGGACAGGGTAGGCCCATTGCTCAGTGAGGAGGGAAAAACAGTAACAGGAAACTTGGCAATGGCAGAGATGCTTAATGACTTCTTTTGGTCTTCACCGAGATGTCTGATGAAGGAATGCCTAACATAATGAATGCTACAGGGGGTAGGTTTAGAAGATAAAATAAAAAAAGAACAAGTTAAAACTCTCCTAGGAAAGTTATATGTCTGCAAGCCACCGGGGCCTGATGAAATGATCCTAGAATACTCAAGGAGCTGATAGAGGAGGTATCTGAGCCTTTAGCTATCATCTTTGGAAAATCATGGAAGACAGGAGAGATTCCAGAAGACTGAAAAAGGGCAAATATAGTGCCCATCTATAAAAAGGGAAATAAAAACAACCCAGGAAAGATAATGGAGCAAGTAGTTAAGGAAATCATCACAAACATTTGGAAGATAATAAGATGATAGGGAACAGCCACCATGGCTTTGTAAAGAACAAATCATGTCAAACCAATCTGATAGCTTTCTTTGATAGGACAATGAGTCTTGAGGATAAGGGAGAAGCAGTGGATGTGATAGTAAGGCATTTGATACGGTCTCGCATGATATTCTTATCAATAAACTAGACAAATACAACTTAGATGGGGCTACTATAAGGTGGATGCATAACTGGCTGGATATCCGTTCTCAGTAGTTATTAATGCTTCACAATCCTGCTGGAAAGATATAACAAATGGGGTTCTTCAGGGGGTCTGTTTTTGGACTGGTTCTGTTCAGTATCTTCATCAACTATTTAAATATTGGCATAGAGAGTATTCTTATTAAGTTTGCAGATGATATGAAGCTGGGAGGGGTTGCGATGGCTCTGGAGGATAGGGTCATAATTCAAAATGATCTGGACAAATTGGAGGAATGCTCTGAGGTAAACAGGATGAAGTTTAATAAAGGCAAATGCAAAGTGCTCCACTTAGGAAGGAACAATCAATTTCACACATACAGAATGGGAAGCGACTGTCTGGGAAGGAGTACGGCAGAAAGGGATCTGGGGGTTATAGTGGACCACAAGCTAAACATGAGTCAACAGTGTGATGCTGTTGCAAAAAAAGCAAATATGATTCTGGGATGCATTAACAGATGTGTTGTGAGCAAGACATGAGAAGACATTCTTCTGCTCTACTCTGCGCTGGTTAGGCCTCAGTTGGAGTATTGTGTCCAGTTCAGGGCACCACATTTCAGGTTGTTTTTAAGATATGATAGTACCATCAGTTATGAATGTTCCACTGAAGTCCAGAGAATGTTTGGATGTGGTCCTTTACCCTGTTGCCCTCTCTGCAAGCAGCAGGACAGCATGTCCTCTACTGTGGCACCAACTAATTGTCAGCTCTGCTAAGCCTCCTGCTCTTCCTTTTCAGAGGCGAACGTGGAAGGCTACAGACGACCGAACTGGCATGGCCAAACCCCTGCGACGGTTTAAACAGGAACCTGAGGAAGATCTACCAGAAGCACCTCCAAAAGCCAAGGAGAGTGACCAGTCACGGTCGAGCTCCCCCACTGCGGGACCCAGCACTGAAAGTGCTGAGCCTAGGGACAAGAAAAAGATAAAGATGAGGCGGAAAAGGCGTCTTCCAAATAAGGAACTGAGCAAAGAGCTCAGCAAAGAACTCAATCAGGAGATCCAAAAAACCGAGAACAGCCTTGCCAATGAGAATCACCAACCCATCAAATCTGAGCCAGAGAGCGAGAATGAGGAGCCCAAACGAGCTCTGAGCAATAGCGAGAGACTCCACAGGTTCAGTAAAGGGTTAAATGGGACTCCCAGGGAGCTGAGGCACCAGCTTTTGCCAAGCCTGCGAAGCACACCTAGGGTGATTACCCGGCCACCACCTTCACTCTCTCCTCCCAAATGCATTCAGATGGAACGCCATGTAATCAGGCCACCCCCCATCAGCCCTCCTCCGGACTCACTCCCCCTAGATGATGGGGCAGCCCATGTGATGCAAAGGGAAGTCTGGATGGCTGTCTTTAGCTACCTCAGTCATAGTGACTTGTGCATCTGTATGAGAGTTTGCAAGACCTGGAACAGATGGTAAGGAGTTGAGGGGGGACAATGCTGATAGTATCTGACTGCGTGATTTAATTCATGCAGACATATATGTTAATCAGCACTTACTAATTTCTTCTAGAGGGGATTTAAGCATGTGTGGAGTTTGTGGGGAAGGTGATGCTCTCAGCTTACATGGAGTGAGGGTATGACCACAAATGCGTGCCTTTAACAAAAATGTAGCAGCTGTCACTTTCAGTGCAGTTCAATCCAAAATAGTTTAAATATTTTTAGGTGGGATATTTGTGTGCACAACCTGTCCTGACTTTTCTTGAGAACCCTAGATAAGGCTGGTAGGCAGTATAACCACATAACATATCCATGCCAACTGTGTTTCAAAGTCCTCTAGTTAGACAAACACAGAGAGCAGTATACTAGTAAAGTTCCTGAATCTGGACTTCATTAGGAGCTTGCATGCCATTAACTTAAATATTTCCTCCATCTAGTTGTTAAACACCTCTTGGATTGCGATAAGAGATCCAGTTGCCCCTGTTAATTGATTTAAGAGGTTCTTCAAGATGTTTTAAGGTTATTTTTGCATATACAGAATGCATGGTGCAAAGAACCTGGTGGTTATATTGTCTACCCTTTATTTTTTAACAACAATTTAATTGATACAGGATCTCAAAGTATATTTTCCATGCTAATTACTGTATTGCCATTTATGGTGCATCTGCCTGGGGCTTGTATAGAAATTGCACAACAGGTCAATGACCATACCCGAACAACAAGCTATAATGTATATTATGAATCTCAAAGCTATGTTTATACACTTTGCTGAACTTCCAATAAAATAGCTTCTTAGCTGGTTGCTCAGATGTATCAAAACTCCATTTACTCAGGCAAGCAGATAACAGACTCTGTTATGGCACTATACAATAATGAATAGGGTGACTTACTAAAACTCAGTGGAAAAAGAGGTCCATGGAATTGCTTCTGCTGAGGATTCCTTGGTGATATTATAATAAGCTTGTAAACAATTTTTGTCCAACTAAGTATAATGTTTCCTCCTAAGTAATTCTTGCAAGTTCGTTAAGATTTTTGCTTGGTTCTGTTACCCATAGCACACTATAGTTGAAGGGATGGGGCAGAGACTCAGATGCTGTGTGTGTAGGATTAAAATAGAGATGCAGAGCAAGAGATGGAGCTTTTTCAGTCTTACGAGACTCACCAACTTGGCTAAAAGGTAAATCAGAACAGCAGAACCTCCTGGGTCAAAGCTGATCTTTAAATCCAAAGGCTAAGAGAAATAAGAAATTGCTCTGGTTTGTTCTGCCTTTATGATGGGATTTTAAAAAGCACCCCAGTGATTTAAGAACACAGGTTCTGCTGAAAGACAATGAGACTGTGCTTTTGAAAATTCCACTCATAACAGCGTTTCATCTGTTGGGAAAGAATCCTATTTTGGCTTGATTAAAAACACTTGTGGAAGTCAGCTTGAACGCATGCGTGCATGAGCCTCTTCAAACAGATCTCTCTGCTGCTGCTGTTACAAAGATACTGATTTTTTAGCTATTGTTAATTTGTAAAGCATTACAGAATTCAAAGCAAATCTCACATTAACAATTGTGTTATTGTAGGTGCTGTGATAAAAGATTGTGGACCAACATAGATCTAAACCATTGTAAATCCATCACTCCACTTATGCTCAGTGGCATTATTAGGAGACAGCCTGTAACCCTTGATCTTAGCTGGACAAACATATCTAAAAAGCAACTGAGCTGGCTTATCAATAGACTACCAGGTAAGTGACATTGTGTCGGATGCATTGATCCCAATTTAGATATAAAGAAGGTCACTAAGGAAAAATCTCTGAAATGTGTAATGAAATAACATTTAAAACGATACAAAGTGGCTTCAGAAAAAAGTATTAGAATTCTAGAGGATTTACCTGGTGTTACTTGGATAAGAAGTGGGAGGATGCAGCAGTCAAGCAGCTGCTGGGAGGTACAGGGCAAAGGGCAGGAAGTGGGGGGAGAGGGGGGCTGAGAGCAGAGGGTGGAAATGCAGGACTCAGGGCAGAGGGGGGCAGAGGTGTGTGCAGGAATCCGGGGGGGAGGGGCCCTCAGGGCAGAGGGCTGGTAGGTA